CTGCTGCAGATGTTTCAGTGGCTGGTGCTGTGGGCTGGACTCGGGGAATCGACGCCCACTCGTGCAGCTGCTCTCCGTGTGCTGCTCCAAGCCTTCATCATCATCGTGACCACGACACTGATGATGATGATGATGATTCTGTCACTGTTGTTCTCGCAGTCTCAGATGCTGGACCTGCACTGTGTCCCTGTGGCCAGCAGGTGGCGCTTCTGTCTTTAGCCTGTTGGTTGATGGGAACTGGAGCTGCAGGCGCTGCTGGTTTCTGGATAACTTAAAATGAATTAGTTCAATTCGGGCTGGGAGATGCTCCTGCAGCTGTTTGATCAACACGACTGTAAAAACCTGATTACACAGTTTGAGTTCTTCTTGTTTTTATGATGAGATGACTTTTTGTCTGTCGTCTCTCTGGTTTCTTGCCCTCTGACCTTTTGAAAGCAGGGCTTCACCTGTCTGTATGAAGTTGTGATTCCTTATTTGGCAGCGAGCAGACGATTGGTCCTGCAGCGCTATCTCTGGCCCATGTGCTCCGCCTCAGTCTCAACAATAACAAAAACAACTTCAACCGTTTTGGCTGCAAGAGAGGGAGGTGGGGCAGTGGCGTGTTCTCAGAAACTGAGACTGAAGCGAGTCGGTGTCCAGAGGAACAGGCCGACGGATAACAGCTGGCCTCGGCCTTCAGTTTGTGTGCAGCACAACGCTTTAACACAGCTGCTCGCCGCGTGCTCATCAGTGTATTTGTTTTGAGGGCTTTGTGTTTCTTTGAGTCTTTCTTTTCCTCTGTCTTCAGTTCACTTCCTGTTTTATTTTGAAGACCAGATTATGTGTTTTTACTTCCTTCCTCTGTTCTTGTTCCCACCTGTGCAGGTGTGAGGTCACCTGTTGGCACTGCGTTGCGTGGCGGCGTGCAGCCAGCGTCTTTCCTCAGAGCTGCTGCGTTCCTCAGGTGGAAATGCACTGAGCAAGCGTCCAATCACAGTCGTCGTCAGCTCAACCTGTGGGTACGTTTCTGGTTTCAGACAGAGCAGGAACTGAGGGGCTGGATAGAGCAGCAGTGTCAAATAAAGAAGCATTATTGTGAACTGTGACTCATACAAAGCTGCTCTGATAGGGTTTGACAACAAAATGAGCAGTCCACCTTAAAGTCCACCTTAAAAACCGTTGAGAGCAGGTGAGGAACACCCTCTCAGACCCTCCATCTGACACCGTGTGTGTCACTGGGAAAGCTCAACGTGCAGGGTGTGTTCACACACGTATGCATACATACCCGGGGTGTGTTATATAACTGTAGAGGTGTCGCCCCATCAGTCATATCAGCTCTGTTTATCAATCCCACAATGCCCCGGGGCTGCTGAGGAGAACCCCTCACCGCTCACGTACATCCACGCTCACACACAAAGCACGTGGTGTGTGTGGCGGTTTCATGCACTGTTATGTAATCCATGTTTTTACTTGTGGCGGAGCACAGGGTTCAGCTTCAGCCTGATGGAAATGCTGACTTCACTACAAACATGGCGGAACCAGCAGGAGGGCGGGGCCGACGGCGATTTAATGACAGTCATTAAACGTCCACCGTACACAATGACAGAGTTTACTCAGAGGCTTCACCTCAGCGTAACCGCAGCTCACTGCAGTTCCTCTGGTGTCCAGCAGAGGCAGCAGTGAGTCAGACCCCACAGACATTGTTCAATAAACATGTTTACAGTCTGAAGCAGACGCTGCGCCTTTCTCTGGATGATTTCCACCTTCATAACACCTGTGCGGGGGAAGAGGTTTCTAAAACTCACCTGTGTGCATTATTAGAGGCGTGGTCTCTTTGACTGACAGGCAGCTGTAGCTGTTAGCTGTCTGGACCCTGTTTGTGCTGCTGGAGCCTCCTCTGACCAATGACACGGCTGCTGTGAGGGTACTGAATTAACAGAGCGCCTGAGAAAGCTGAGCTCCGGTTTTAATGAGTGAAATTCGAGGTTTTTGATTGGATGGTGCTGATTAGCAGGTCTCTGTGTGTATGATGCGATGTCTGTCGCTCAGAGCGAGGAGCGGGCGAGCTGCTAATCTGCTGTAATGAGAGGATTTAATGGGAGTCATGTGACATGTTTGTTTTCGGTCTGACTGACAGGAAGCAGATATCATCTGCCGTCTCCATCTGGGCTCTGACCTCACCGCCCCAGAGTGCGAGTGCGGTGGAGTCGGCTGATCTGGGGGCTCAGTGCACGTTGAAACAGAGAGGGGTGTCTATAGACTTTTGGCCAGCCGAGCAAAGCTGAAGGAGGCTTGTTTGCTTTCTGCTCGCCTCGCCTTCTCTGTGTTTACAACTGCAGGGACTCATAAATCCTGTGATATCACTTCCTGCCATGTGCAGCCGCCTCACATTCCTCGTGGAGCGGGGGAGCATCCCCCTCTCTCTGAATGAGGAAACAAACTCTGTGAACCCGAGCTGCTGGCGGCGCTCCCACTGCTATCAAAGTTGATCCTCCGGGGGCGGGGGGGGGGGAGAGCCGATGACCACAGCCAGCAGGAGGGAACCAAACACAACCCACACTGTGAACCAGGAGCTGACTGAGTCCAAACCTGGGATTCAAAAACAAATTCACTGAAATGAATCCTCCAATCAGCACCCAGAAGAAACCACTGCGTTTAACACCGCAGCGCTTCCTGTCAGTAACCTTGCAGTTCACCTAGGGGGCGCTCTGGCATGTTTCTCAAGCTCAACGGCTAAAACAAAGATTATTTTAGTTTCCAGGAAACCAGCCTGGAATAAACCACCAGTCCTGCAGTTCCTCTGGTGCCCAGCAGAGGCAGCAGTGAGCCAGTCCCCACAGACTCCCGTGTCACCGTTAGCATGTTCATGATGCAAAGCAGCCGCTGCTTTGGTCTCTGGGTGTTTTAATGATGTCAGCTGGCTCTGAGGTGGCCCTGCTGATCCTGCACAAACAGAGGAGCGCACAGCCAAACCCTTGCTGGCTGCAGCAGAGGAGGCGACCTCTGAAACAGCCTCGCTCAGGTGTTGACGTGCAGACAGGAAGCACTCGGTGCGCCGCTTTATTGCACGGTTCACATTAACAGTGTGAGGTTCTGCTGTCGGCATGAACATGGCTCCATGTGAAACTTTCACCTGCGAGGACGTGCTTTCATCACAGCGAGCTCTCATTTTCAGTCTGACCTGGTTTTTATAAACATGTAATAGACATGTTATACCTGACAGCAGGCTGAGCTAACTGATTCACTCTGAAGGTTCGACCTTTACTCTGAAAATCCAGCGTTACACACAAATCTGGCTTCAGCCAGTCTGACCTGACACGTTACAAACACCGCTTGTAACGTGTCATGTGTCTGTGTTTACAAATCTGACGTGATAAGCAAGGGGCGGAGCTGGCTGTGAAACCTCACTGGTGAGGCCTTGTGATTGACAGGTCTCTCATAAGAATGAAGACTTCAGATGTTTCTGCACTGCCTTCAGTTTCCAGAGCGTCCATGTTTCATCCTGCCAGTCTGTCGTTGGTGACGTCATTGTTTGAGCACGTCAGAGTTTGGGGGCAGTCCCCAGGTGACTGTGACGCACAGGAAGGAGGTGCTTGGATATCTGTGGGAGAACTATGATTGGTCAGCAGTAAGCATGAAAACATGAAGGCATCGGGACTGATGTAGTGCAGTGGTGCTAGCAGGACCCAACCACTCCAACGTCAAAACCTAACCCTGACCAATCAGATCATCGGACGGGACACAGGTGGAACAGGTGGCAGAGTGTGCTCTGTCAAAGGGGGTGTCCAAATTCATGGGCTGCATCCTCCTGATGACGGGTTTGTAGGCCGATTACGTCACAGCGACACGCCGAAGGCTGTCCAAATTCGTAGACTCCTCCGAATGCAGCCGACAAATGCGTCCTCCTTTTCCCCGAATTTGAAGGATGGGTCGGGTGTGTCCTTCGTGGTCCACCATATCCCAGAATTCATAGCGCGGCCCAGCCAAACTCCAGTTTCCGGCGATGGCGGCAGCTGCTTAGTTTTAATATTACTCTTATTAATCTTTGTGGGTCACAAAATAAAGTTTTAACATATTTTCAGGCGAGAATGTAGCTGTGTAAACATCTGCTCAGTGTATCAAGACACCACATATTTGCCAAAGTGCTTCGACGTTTTCGGACACGTCTGTTACCCACCAGCTCGATAGCTCGCCGGGAGCGCGAGGGTCACTGGAGCCGCAGAGAACGGCACAACTCCCGGCACATCATATTCAGATCACTGCGGACTTTCGCTACTCGGGTTAAACGTGATATATGAGTCACTTAGACAACCTAAAAATGTTATTGTTGGGCTTTTCTCAGTGTTTTATTTATTTGTGAGTAAATCGGTTTGGCTTAAAGTTATTAGATTAAAGTTGTTAGATTAGATTAAATGTTATTAATCCATCGGGTGATTTTCACACAGCTGAATAAACGTTGAACAGAAAACTGATTAAACAGAAGTGTGAGACGGTTGAGAGTTTACCGTATTTTCACGACCATAAGACGCACTGTACTAAAAGGCGCAGTCTCAGTTATGTGTGCCATTACTGTATTTAACACACACATAAGGCGCACTGGACCATAGGGCGCATACAAGTACCGTATGCGTATTTAAAAATAAAGCGGGAGCAAACCTGAGTTCGGTACCTTACTCACATTTTTTATTACCAGTAATCGTCATCATCAACAACACACAAGCATACAAGTGTGCGTATTTAAAAGTAAAGCAGGAGCAAAACAAAGTTTGGTACTCACATTTTTATCATTAATCAAACCCATCGAAGTCCTCATCCTCTGTGTCTGAATTGAACAGCTGCGCTAAATCTCCATCAAACATGCCAGGTTCACTGTCTTCACTGTCAGTCACTTTCCGTGCCGTGCGGCTCCTCGGAAATGATGCCGGCTTTTGCGAAAGCTCGAACAACAGTGCCAGCAGACATGTTAGCCCAAGCAATTTCACAGCCGTTTACTTCCAGCCTACCCGACCTTCTGAGGACCCGGCCCACGTACACCGCGAAGGCCGGGTCCTCAGGAGGATGCAGCCTATGAATTTGGACACGACTAAAATCTTCAAACATCATTCACAACGCCTCACTGTGAGGTCATCGCTGCTTGGCCCGAACGAAACCTTGAGAATGTTCTAGAACATGTATGTTAGAACGTGTATATTACAAGATGGACGCCCGCTGCCAAGCTCAGGTGTGAGTGAGGACAGCGGGATTGTGATAAGTTGAGCGCGTTCATCAGAGGACGGCAGACAGGTGAAGAGTACCTGTGTTTCACCTGCTCACCTGAACTGAGAGTGACTTCATCACTGTTCTGCTGATTACACGTTTCAAATAAACTTTATTGGCTCACAGCCTGAAACGGCTCCTTTACAGCTCGCGCTTTATTTAAACATGGTCCAAAGACACACTCAGAGCCAAAGAATGTGCTGCTGTTTCAGGAAGTGGTGACTGTTTTTACACACACACACACGGAGGAAACCTCAGCCGAGCGCTCTGATTGGCTGCTGCACCACGTGTCTGCAGTGATAGTAGCTCCTTTTACGGTGGTGAGGCTCGTTGGCGACGGAGCATCAGGTTCAGACCGGCTGCTACTTCTCAGAAACAAACGTACACCGTGTTCCCACGCGCGCGCGCACACACACACACGGGACCTCCACCATAACAACAGTGATTTGAGTTTCCCGCCATGTTAATAAAGTTTATTGAATGGGGGACAGGAAGACAAACCGGAAACACTCCGGGATGATTTTATACGGGTGCAGAAGCGCGTGCCACCTTCACCTGAAGGCTCCCACAGTTCAGTGGACTCGTGAACGCGCATGGGCTAGCAGACAGCGGGGGGTAGGGTGTGCGCATGCTCCTCTGTGAGTGTCACACGGACTCGGGCCTTTGTTTGTTTTGCCTGCACACGCGCCGTTATGTAACGTCCGCGACGGCGGAGCGGCCCAATGCGCGCGGGGCCGGGACGGGAAGGCCCCGATTCGCGGGACTCCGGTGCTCTCGTCCGGAGCTCTGGCACCGGAGCAGCAAGAGCGCGCCTGAGTGGATTAAGAGTGAACCGGAGCCTCGGCGCCGCGCTGTCGGGACTGGCTCTGTGTTTGGGTTCGCCCCGCTCCCCCGCCTCTGCGGGCACTTGGTACAGTCCGCAGCGCGTCAGCCATTGTTTACAAATGAACTGAGAGAGCAGCGAGGACACCGAGCACCCACACAGCACCGACCCGCACCAACACAACGAAGGACCAGACGGAGGACAGCCGCCATGCCGTGCCGGAAGCATGACTACCTGCTGCTGGAGCAGTCGGTGACCGTGGACTCAGCGGAGGTGGACGCACTGGTGACGCGTATCGGAGAGGCGCTGCAGCTGCACGGCTCCGCCCAAACGCCGGTGTCGGTGAGCCGTCTGCACGGCCTCGCCGGCGGCCCCGGGACCAAACCGGCGGCCGGCGGTGCAGGGGCTCCAGCGCAGGCGCGGACCGGCTGCTGCATGCGGCTCCGGAGCCGCCGAGGGCCGCGGGCCGGCGGCAGGCCGAGCCCGTACGGCGTGCCCGGCTCCGGAGACTCGGACTGGGACCGGATCCGCCCCTGGAACCGAAAGCGGCTCGGCGGGACGGAGGACGACCCGCACCGGCTGCTACAGGAGCTGCTGCTCTCCGGGAACCTGATCAAGGAGGCCGTGAGGCGGTTGCAGCTGTCCGCGGACTGCGGAGACTGAGCCCGGACACCGGGCACGGACTCACACCTGAGCCACTCACCGGAAACTCCGCTCGGACTTTTTCTAATTTCTCCGTTTGGTCGCGAGGCCGGCAGCTAGCTGAGCTATGCTAATGATGTTTATGTTTGACTGGGGGGGGTGGGGGGTGCTCACCTTGAGGCCAGGTAAAGGTGAGGTTGCTGCCAGGCACACATGTGGCTGCTCTCTGCTTCACGAGGAAATGAGCAGCTGGGTTTGTTTACAGTCTCATGGTGGGGTTTTACCTGCACAGGTAGGGGGCCGGGCTGCCCCTTGGGCCTGTGTGGGCTCAGGTGCTCTCACCTGTGGGAACTCCCAGCAGGACTTGTGTTGTTGTACTTTTTGTTGTGTGAAGAATGCCTCTGCTCCGTACCGGAGTACCTGCCGTTCCTGAGTATTCAGGCTTTTGTTGTCTTAATAAACTCACCTGTTTGGTTTTTTTCACACCTGTGCAGAGTGTCTTTGTCAGAGCACCGGCAGTGCCGTTACTGAATCACACCTGGACGAATACACTGATTGGACAGATCCATAAGACCGATCAGCTGATTAGCATAGGTAGCTTCAGACAGGTGTTACTGATGTGAAATCAGCTGATCTCACATCAGGAAATAACCTGGAAACACGTGGTTTTATTTTCTAGTAGGTCTGAAAGCTTTCCGCCCTCGTCTGAGGACCTCCTGCAGGAGGAGACTCCAGCAGGGGCACTCTGACCACACCTGCTGGTTTAACCTGCCACATTGTCCAGATGAGTCAATAGAGAGGTTTGATTCTAACTGCACAAGTCTGATGGTTTAAAGCTCAGTAATGAGCCTGCGCGCACACACACACACACGCCCCCCCCCTCCTCTTCCTGTGGTCGACGTGGTCTTAGAGGCCACGCGCTCATTATCAGCCTTTAAATACCCACCCCCACCCCTGTGTCACAGCAGGGTGACTCCTGCAGAAAAACATGTTTACCTGTGGTGGGCTGTGGGTCCTGCGGGCTGTGGCGCCCCCTGTTGTACCTGCTCTGTTACTTCATGGAGTCCTCAGGAGCAGGTCCAACAGACTCATGGAGAAGAAATTCAAGAAAGTTACTTTATTTATCACAAATTTTCTGTTTTACAGAAGCCAGGAGGAGCAATCCAACTTTAAATAATAAAAGTAGGATGTCAAACAAAGAAAAAATGGCCAATTAACTAGAATAAAAGATAAAATAAAGATCAATAATACACAGTAAAATGTTAAAGACTGAAAAGAATAAATATTAGAAAAAAGCCCAAAACATTACAATAAAATAAAAAATTTGATAAAGAATCTTTAAGTAAAAAAGCAGAGTGAGAAGTTAAATGATCCTCTGAGTAAACTGGGAATGAAAAAGTTGATTCTGGTCATGTAACATAGCGTGTTCATCATCTTCAGGTGAGTTCTTCAGTCTCAGCTGACTGCAGGGCCCTATTTCAGGAAGCCGGTTTAGAAAACTCAGAGTGAAAAACGATACTCA